TTGTGAAATTTAGTCCTAAGCAGTAAAACGGTAGTGTGGGAAGGGCATGTTTTTGGATGTATAAGTCATAAGTAATTATAACCAAAATTAATTCAGTGTTATTTAAGGGAAAATATATAATATTTGCTCTGAAATACTCATTTATTCAAAACACTATTAGTTATAATGTAACATAAAAATCCTCATCTAGGTCAGATAAATTTTAGAGTCTAGCATTCCATTTCTGAAATATTTATAGAGGTGTAGGATGGAATTTACAATAAATTAAGAAAACTAATAGTATTAAGGGAAGTATTGGCAAATGTTGATAATTATTAAATCTATCCTTATAAGTAGATTTAATAATTTAGCTTAACATTACTGATACTTTTTGAAAGCTAGGCCAATTATATTGTTATTGTTTGGAATATTTTCAAATAGTATATACTTACTTTTTTAATTACACATACAGTATCATCAAGATAGGTTAAATGGAACCAAAAAACATTTGTGCAAATTATTTGTGGAAATCATTATTCTGTTTTCTATAACATTATTAGGAATATTTGAAAGTAGTCAGAAGGAAAATGAAATTTTACTTAACACCAGGTGTTTCTACTTTTGTCTTTTCCCAAACCTACTTAATTTCTAATTCTTGTAACTCTAGGTGACCAGGAGTAATAAACATCAATAATGCAGAAGATTATGTACTTTTTATTCTTCCCAAATGTACTGTCTTGGGTTCTAAGAGTCTTTTAAGTCATGGTTTTTAGAAAGTTGGCAAATAAGTATTCACTCATCTTGCACGCTCCATATTTTTATGAACACTCTATTGTATCCCTCCTTAGTGCTGGTTTTTCTGCTGAAGAAACTAATCCTTTTAATCGCCCTCTGCTCAGTTATTGAAGTTGCCCTTCTTGGCCTTCTCAGCTCTACTCTGACTTTCCTGAGTTGCAGTGATCAGAACTGATCCATGCAGGTTACACATAAGAATAAGTGACAACCAAAAAGAATTTCAATGAAGTGCCTACTGAAAGCACACACAAAATGAAAGCATACATAAAACTGGAAGTTAGTAAGAGAGCATAAAGAGAAGCAGGTGGTGTTAAAAAATAAAATTTTTAGAAAAGATGAAAATTAATAGTAAACATCATAGCACTTGGCAAGATAGAGATGGGGAAAAATGAGTTCTTTTTTTTTTTTTTTAAAACTTGCATTACTTTCTACAGAAAGAACTTTCATTACTTATAAGTTCCAATTCCCTAAAAGTTTTTTACTTTTATCAAACGTAGAATTATCAATAAATTAAAAAATTCAAATACCACCATGGCCAGTGATCTGTTCCTTCTCTCTCTCTCTCCCATTTCATTTTCATCGGCTTTCACCTTGCTCACTCAGCTAGCCCTCCAATTGGAGGGTCACTTTCTGGCAGCTTGCGGGTGGCAACTCCATCCACTGTGACTCCAGGACCTCAAAGTTTGCAGCACAATCTGAGTGGACAAGATCCTCTACACAGATCCTCCTCACACCAAATTAGTGCCAGATGTGGGTAGATGCCAATATTTACATGTTGTATAAACCAATGCCTGTAGGCAGGCCGACCAATTAAGAGTAGAAATTCTGGAGTCGGACTGTCTGGATTCAAATTCTACCTGTGACCACTATGTGTCTGTGGGAAAATTACTTAATTCCACTAAATATAATTTGCTAATATGTACAATAGAGCTAATAATAGTATCTCAGACAAATAAGTCATCTTGGAAATTAAGTGAGTGAATACTGATTAGTGCTGTCAAGAACAATGGTTGGCACTCAAGTAAATATTGGGCTGATCCAGATAAAATGGCAAAAAGAAGTGGCAGCCCTTCTTGAGTAGCAGAAATTTGCTACTAAAGGATTAAAGTGGGTGTGGAGGTTAGGGATTTAGCAACTCTGCAACAGCCCACTTCCAACTACACAGAATCAATTACAAGGAAAACTTCTTGTGGGAGGGTGTCTGAAAATGATTTGTTTCTTTCTTTTTATTTTGTTGTTTATTTTTGTACAATCTTTGATTTCTCCTTTCAGGTTTGCCCCATAAAATTCCCATCACCAAGACACCTCCATGAACCATCACCAGACTCTTGTGCTCTTCCCTTCCATCTTGATCCCTTTCCTTCCTGAAAGCTTCTAAAAAGCATATATATTTGAGAAATATAAAATGCACAACTGCAGTACTTGTCATTTCTCAAGGTATCACATTTGCAATAGTATAGATATTGAGGTTTTAATAGCTGCACTTGAGACATATTTTCTAAAGCTTTTGGATCTGGTTACAAGTAAGAGTGTGAAATAATTTACACTCTAAAGGTGTTACAAAGGCAAAAAGAAAACTTGTGACATGGCCAGTTAGTCACAACTACAACTTTATTTTTTCAACAAAAGAAAGTGCTTGAAAATATGCACAGAGCACTGCATATGTTTATTTATGCTTTTGAGAGTGTACAGTAATTGCTATAACTTTGTGAAGCTTTTAGCTTTTGGTAAAGAAGAATAATGTCTTTTTTAAATAGTTGACTAGTGCAAAGATGACTCTATTTGATAATGCAAACCCAGCTTAATAAGTGCAAACCAAGTGGAAATGAGCAATCTTCCTAAGAATTAGGCTGACACTTTCTATTCTGAAAGGGCAACTGATGTTGATGATGAGCAAAGAGGAGTTCAATGAAGACAGAGAGGTTCTTGACACAGTTTGGAAAGTACCACAAAACTCTACTGAAGGCAAATGGCAGCTGTGTGGGCAGTATGATCTGTTCCTTCCAACCAGAGTCCTGTTTGTCCTGTACTTGACATTAAAAATAACAACTATTCTAAAGTGTGGAGAAAATCTGAAATATGTCTATTCCAATGGCCAATGAGGGTCACAAGTAAGGACTCTTCAAGAACACTTCTCAAAGAAAAGAACCATTTTAAGCATCAGGAGTTTAGTAGGGACAGTGTGAACTATGAGGCTAGTTGACATTTAGATAACTCTTTTTGCGTCCTCTACAGAGAACCCAAAGTAAAAAAATATTGTGGCCCGAGAGTTTTGTCCTACTTAAGGAGAATGCAAAAATCTGATGTAATTGTCATAATCTGCTATAATTGTAATCATGTGGCATATTGTCGATCACATATTTCCCCTTTTGGCTACCAGAAAGCTGACTTATAGTTTGATTATAGCAAGTGTATACAAAATTCAAAGTCCATGTGAGTATACAATCTTATGATCTTCTCATTCATGATTTGATAATCCTTCTGGGTTTTCCTTTCTACTATTATTAATTTTTATTTACTAAATTTTATAATTCTTTAAAAATTACATACATTTTGATATATGTACTAGTGCTTCTTACCCTCCATAAGATGATAAGGGTTTAGCTAAATTGTTAGGCAGTTTTCATAAATACAATTTCACTCGACTGTCACAGCAACATGCAGAAGAAAATACTGTTATTCACATGTTACAAGTAGGGGAAATGAGACTCCAAGAGAGAAAAATCTTACCCCAAACACAAAAACCAACATAGTTTTCACTGTGCTATACCGTACTTCATTTCTCTACCAAAAAATATTTCCTACTGCTTTAAATATTTCTAGTAAGAGTTACCACTGAACTGATAATTGTTTGAATGAAGTAAAATAAATACATCTAAGTTGTAAAAGGAGTTGGGCTAGGAGGTAATCTTACCAAGCATTATACTAAGTTGTATTATATGCTCTTGTGAAGTATGTGGGGTTAGAGGAAGATGAGGAATTTTCTTTGCTGAATTCTGTCTCTTTTCAAGAAAAAGGTGAAGTATAAACTTTAGATAAAAGTTTAGCTTGAAGGAGAACGGATCAGTTGACCCAAATGAGATGAAATAGTTTTTAAAAGTCAGCCACCACCAGACCTCACTCACTATTCATTAGAGCCCACCAGGGCTAGGAAGGGCTTTGATGAGCTTTGGAAGGTCACCAGCTGGCCCCAATCCCAGTGTAGTGGCTCCCTGCTAGCTCACCCCTGCAGCTAGGTGTGTTTCTCAGGCAATGGAGCCTGTGAAAACAGCACCAGCCTGGCCTTGGAACACAGCTGACAGGAAAATTCAAAGTCCATGTGAGCTAGAATTGTCACCAACTTAATTTTCCAGCCATTTTTTTGCAGAGCTCAGGGTCCTCCCATCTTTCTGTCACTGTAACCAGGAAAGTCAAAGCATCTGGCCTGTTGGCACTAGCCAGCTGTGCCTCATTAATGGCAGGATAGGAAAAAACCATGAAATAAAAGAGAGACGGAGCCTCTTTTAATGCAGGTACGATCATAATACAATTCATTAAGTCCCAGCACTGATTTGTCATGGTAACCTAACTAGCATGTCATCTACCAGCAATTTCTGCAAACGTGCAAAATTACCACACAGTTACTTAAGTACTGAGTTAAAAATGACTAATGCAAAATTGCCAAGACAGATTCTATTTTGATGTCAGGTTCCAGGCCAGATTTGAGAATATACTTTTACTTGAGGGGAACAGATAATGGTTGCTCAACTAAGTCAGGGTTGAATCATCTAGACAGTTTTACTGTGCTTTTGCAAATCGTTCATATTTCTGCACTCCTAGGCCTGATTAACAAGAAACCATAATGGAGAAACAGGTCCCTTTGTTTTGTGTCTAATATGCATTGGACATACATGAGTAAACTTCACTGAGTTTACCTAGCTAGTTAGCAGGTTTCTGTGCAGGGAGTCAAATTCAATTGCCTTGATTCCAAGAGCCATGCTCTCGATCCTACTCATCAGAGCTTCTAGCCTTCTTGCTGCCACATAAAGCATAGAAGTGTATGCTAATCCTAAGTGCTCATGCAAAGATTAATGACATTCTGAATTCCTATGCATTTTGTAGTCATCGCCTTTGTTTCATCTATGGAGACAGCCCCATTTAGAATGGGGCTACATGCTAGATGAGAATGGAACATTCCAAAGAAGAAAACGCCTCAAATTTCTCTGTACATTGTTTCTTTGACTTGCCTGCTGTAAGGAGGGCTCCTCCTTCTGCTCTTCATCTAGGTCCACACCAACTCTGTTAAAGGAAATGGAAAAGTGGTAAGGGCCTTGCTGTGGATGACAAGACAGTCTCTTGTGTTAGATCCTGTGAACTGACACAATCCAAATCAGAGAGAAGCTTTGCCAGAAAACTAGCCAAGCTCCTCTTGAATAATAATAAAAAAATGTCAGATAGACTTATGGCAAAATGAAAACTTGTACAATTGGGCAGTAACAACCCTGGCCAGAGGGCACATCAGTAGCTGCTCTTCATTACTGGCTTTCCCTGAAAGAACAAGGGCTTAAGACCCTGGGACAAGGGCCTCCCTGATGGTGCAAGGATTAAGTGCAGCACCGTGGAGCTATCCACAGCCACTGAAGCACAGTTCAATCCCTGCCAGGAAGATGCAGCACACTGCTCCCCTCAGCTGTGTATTTCAGTACATTTGCCTGTTCTGCTCCCCACTCTGTGTCTGGTGAATGCTCTCACCCCCTCCACACACCTCTGATCTGTACCCCAGTTCTTGTATACAAATAAATAAATCTTAAAAAAAAAAAAAAAAAGAACCTGGGACAAAAGCTCTCAGGAAACACACCTTCACAGCCTTCAAAGTAGGGATCCTGGTAGGAAAGCTGCTTGCTTCCCAGGCAGGCCTTACTGACCTAGAGACTCTGGGGATGTGGGGTCTGGGCTGTAGCAGGGCCCTCAAGACAGAAAAGCTCACCCTTGTTTCAGTTGCTTATCAAGAAGTGGAGGACCCAGGCTTATGGGGGCTAGGGTTTAGACAACTGAGGAACTTAAGAATTTAAGTTTGAGAAATGAATGCAAAAATACAAATAGAAAATTAGATAGGAAAGTGATTCCTTAGAAAATAAATGACATCTACATAGACTGAAAATCTGGCGCATGCGATGGACAATTTAAAATTCAGAAAACACACAAAATATTCTAATTAATTAACTGCCTGGCACGGCTCTAAAATAAATGTTTCCTTAGTCAATTTTGCCTGCATACTTCAATATCCTCTTTATATGATGATTTGGATTAGAAAGAACAGGAAGATAGCATAGTCTTTCCCCTAGCAAAGTTCATGATATTATTGATGGTTGGGGTGCTGGGAGGCATGACAACATGCCTTCTCCCAGACATGCTGGCTTGTGTGCTGCACAGCTGCAGGTGAATGCCCTGCAAATATGAGACTCCCGAGAAACCATCTTTAATGCAGTGTAGAAAATGTATACACAGAAACGAATACAGTTTTAGTCTACCGGAGGGGAGCAAGGCCCCACCTGGCCACATCACACCCTGCTTCTTGGGTCCAGCTCCTTGTGCCTAGGCCTGACGGGAGAGGAGAGAGCCAGGGTCTGGGCTGCCACTCCGTGGGGGCTGGGTCCTCTGCAGGTCTGGGGGCTACCTGGCGGGTCAGGCTCCTCTGACATTTTGGCGACTGAGGTCCGACTCCGTTCCGCTATTCAAAGCCCAGGGCATCACAGCTGGGCAAGAGCAGGCCTGTGTCCAGGCCCTCCTGGTTGGTGCCCGTGATGTCCAGGAGGGAGGGCAAGAGGATCTCTGAGGCGGGGCTGCTGGAGGCCAGCTTGGCGGTAGGTGCCTTGAAAGTCGGCTTCCTCCGGGCCCCTGGGCAGGTCCTCTGCCCCTGCAGAGGTCCTCCGGAGCCCCTGGGGTGGGCCCTTGGCCTCCGTCTGCGCAGGTGTGCTCTCCTTCCCTCCGGGGGCTGAGCGCGCGGGGCCTCTAGGCCGCCACTGAAGGCTGGGGGTCCTTCACTGCCCGGGAGGACGCTTGGGGCATGGAGAGCCAGGAGGGCAGGCCCACCATCGGCGGCCTGAGGGGCGGCTCCGCACAGTTGGCCATGACCATCAGCTTGGCCAGGGCGAACCCCTCCACTGAGAAGGGCCTGCTGTGCTCCTGCGCAGCCCTGTCCAGGGCCAGCTCACGGGTCTTGACCCACTTGTGCTGCTGCCCCAGCCGCTTGACCCTGAAGCCGGGTACGTCCAGCACCGTCTCCTCAGTCTTGATGAGGGCCACGTCCTCCAGCTTCTCCTCGCTCTTCCAGCCGCCCAGGGAGAGCTCGTGGGCTACGCTGACCACCACCTTCACCCAGTCCCCCTTGGTCGTGCCGTCCGGCAGCTGCAGGGTGGTTTGCGCTGCCCTCACCTCCACCACCTCCTTCTCCCCGGTGCCCACGAGCGCCATGGGCCGGGGCTTAGCTTCTGGTGGGTGGGGCTCCCGCAGCTCCACCTCCGCGCTCCTGGGCAGCAGCTCCCGGTCTGCGGGATCCCACACCAGGGGGCAGGCAGCTGCGGGATCCGCAGCCCTCTGGGACAGGGCAGGTCGGAAAGGCAGTTTCCGGTGGAGAAGTGGAGGGGACACAGCCTTCAAGGAAACAGCAGGCACAGGCGGGGCCTTCTGGGCCCTTTGGAGAAGCAGGGCGGGCCTTCCGGGGTGGGGCAGGGGTGGAGGGGGCCCCGTGGGGAGTGGCCAAGCCTGGGGCCCTTCCGGGGTGGGTGGGCCAGGGCCTTCAGGGGAGCGGCTGGTGGCTTTGCCAGGTGCTCCGCTGGACCCCTTCTTGGATGGTGCGTCCACAGCTGGGATCTTGTGCGACAGTCGAGAAGGAAAGGTGCTTTCCGTGAGGCGGCCGGGACTTGGGGGGGCCTTCTGGGAGGGCGGCCGCTTTATCTTCCGCATGGACTCGAAAGGCCTACCCTTCTTGTGTCGGGGGAAGGGACCAGGTGTGGCCAGGTACACCGCTGGAGCTGGGGCAGCGGGGCCCAGTGAGGAAGAGGACAGGGTGCTGGACTTGGGATCTAAGAGATCTTGGATGTGTTATTGCCACAGTCGCTGGTCCAGGTCGTCATAGAAGCCCAGTAGAGATGCACTGTGGCTGTTGGGCCGGACACAGCTTGTGGTTGGCTCCAGCAACCCCTCAGGGCAACCTCGTTGGAATCAGATGAGCAAGCCTTGGCCGAGGACTGCGAGCTGGTGACGGTGTTGGAGATGATGCTGAAGATGGTCCGGATGGTGATGCTGGGCTTCTCTGGGTGGGGAAGGCAAGTGAGTACCCGGTGTGCAGGGCTGCGTGGGGGTGGGGGGTGCAGTGCTCACCGGAACCCTGGAGCGTGGACTTGGGCGGGTCTGGGTGGGGCGTCTTCTCACCCTGCGCCTCCTTGGCTGCAGTGTGCTTCAGCTTCGACTAGATGAGCGGCATCGAGTCGCCCACTGCCTGGGAATGAATCTGCACTTGAGGTTCAGTTGGCAGCTGGGAGCAGAGCAGACAGCTGGGCCCCCTCCCGCGCCACTGGCCCTCCCAGCCCCTGCCGGGCTCACCTTGGCCTTCTTCTGCTTCTGGGGGTCAGCACCGCGTAAGGAAAGGTGGGCTTTGCAATCATCACGGAAAGAGAAGGCTGCTGAGGACTCACATCCCACCAGGGGGGCAAGCCTGGGCCAATGAACAGTGCTGTGTGGCGGGATACTTCCTAAATTTATTTTTTGATGGGGGTATCCACGAGAGTGGAATCTTTCACTCCAAATTTTACACACCTTCTGAGTAGAATTATCCACGTACTAATTTCTGGCTTGCAGCATGTAAGAACTTGTTTTCCCTCCACTACCCAGACTTTCTGATGCCAGGCACACAGGATGTATTCTTCTTCCATTCAGCCCTGTGGTGCGTGGCTCTTTCCTGTGAGCTACTCCTGCTCCTGGATGCTTGGCAGAAATTTGCCCTTCCACAGAATTGACTGCAGACCATATACACATGTCCTGCCAAATGCACTCCCAAGGCAGCTTCCCCTTAGTCCAGCCCCTCTAGATGTCCACAACCACAATAGGGCCATGCAAATAGAGAAGCATCATGGAGCAGAAGCAGTAGTGGACAGAAACAGCAGTAGAGCTCAACTGTGGTTAAAATATATTCACTTTGCAAATCTTATGAAAACAAGATCATGGGAACAGCATGCTGGGGATTTTCCAGAGTCTTGAAATGCCCAGAGCATGTGAGGGGCCTTGGTGTTTTACTTCCTCCATTGTAGGGACTGGGCCTTGGCTGTGGTGGTGAGTGTGTGTTGGGAAATAGTTCAAGGTGCAGAATTCCCCCCCACAAGTCTCCCATGCCTGCCTCCCCCCCCCCCCGGAACAACACCCCCCTCCTCCTAATAACACCAGAAGTGTTTCTGTGGACAGAATTTTAGAGCCACAATTTCCAGAGCTTTAGAGTCTTTTCTTCAACACCTGTCTTTGTAAACACTTTTGCAGTTCTGCCCTCTAGGCGGGGGAAGGGAAGCCAAGGTAGGCCTGCTGTCTGGCAGATGCGTTAGCCTGTGGAGAGATTGCTGGCTTACAATGCCTCTGATTCTTCAAAAAATTTGTTCTCTGGGCTTGAGTAGCCCCTTTTCGCTAATACAGGTGGTGAAATGAGTGACTATTTCTTATATGTTGAAATTTTGTAGAGGGGACTAACCTTTGATATTCTCTTAGAGTAGAAAAGCCTATTTGATCTGTTTCATTATGTTGGAGGGGTAGGAGGGGGTCAGGAAGAGAGGAGGAGGAAAGAGGAAAAGAGAGAGAGGGGAGATGGAGAGCAAGAGAGAGGTGACTGAGGGGGTGAGAAGATGGAAGGGGAAGGACAGGGGAAAGACATGAGGGCTGGGAGGTGAAGAGAGTAGACAGGGGTTAAGGTCCCTGACTGCCAAGGTGCAGGCAGTGACCCTGGGGTGCTTATGGCCTGAATTCAGCCCCTTATGCAGAATGGGGCCCAAATGTGTAGGTGCTGGCCACTTTCTCATGGGATTGGGCCATCTTCAGGACCTGTGGTGGATCTGAGCCTCTGATGAATGGTCAGAGCCCCTTAGGAGACTTTATGACTGGGGAAGCCCAGATAACCTTCTCTCAAGGGCTACCTTTGCATTGAATGAGGGTCCTGAAGGCTCACTGCTACATCTTCTCCTCCCCTGTCTAGAAAACTAGGGAAAACAGAAATCGTCACCAAATACCCAGTGTGTCTAGCTGATCAGTTCTGAGGT